TGCGTAAAACAACTAAAATTCATAATATTTTTATGAAACTGGCCAAAGTTAACAATTTTCTTTAAATACGTTTTGAATACAACGTAAACAAAAAAAATCAACGAAAATACTTTATAAAGATGTTTACAATATATATATATATAATCTTACAAAAAAAGTAAGTAATGAGAAAATAGTAATTTTGTATATCATACTTTTAAAATTTCTGTACTGCCCATTAATACCTTATTGTAAGATTATATACAGTGTGATCTATGGCAATACCTATCAAAATTTAATTAAAAAATATTTATTTACAACAAAATTATTTTTTAAATTCACTATTTGAGTATTTTATCTTTTACATATATTTTGGACAATGTCTAAAAACTAGCAACAGTGCCAATACAAAATAGTTATAACTAGGGTTGGGCACACTAATTAATAATAGATTATTAATCAATTTACGTTTATTTGATTTTTTTTTTTTTAGAAAAATATTTAATCGATTTGCCGGTTTTTTAATTAATCGATTATTTTCGATTTTTCAAAGAGAATTATATTCGATTTTGATTATTCAATTAATCAAAATAATCGTATGACCTATTAACCGATTAATCGATTTTAAAGGAAATACAAAAAATAGATTTTCTTTCAATGTGATGGAAAATGTGTCGTGGGTAACAAACTTTGAGAATTTGATGTTATGAAATACAATATTTAGTTTCAAAAATGCAAGATGGTTTGGATGGTTTATTAAAAGGGTGTTTTAGGGGTTTTTTAAATAGTAAATGAAAAATATCTTGTAATTAAAATAATATACGTTCTGAAATTTAATTTCTATTGATATGACATGAGTGAGGTTTTCTGGATTTTCCTTACCTGTAAGTCAAATGGTACCATCAATCTTCTTTAAGTCGCCCCTGAAGCGCCACGGCAAATAATATTAATAATAATTATAATAATAGTCGTCCCTTCCTCACAAAAACTCAGTAAGCTTCATGGGTTGAAATTCACTCGTAAGAGAGTGAATTAGGGACTAATTATAATTAAAGCTTTCGCATAAAAAAAAACTTTTTTGACGTTGCAAAATTTTGAGTTAAATTTAAATTAACAGGGAGCACAAAAAATACAAAAATGTTGCTTTTAGCTCGATAATTCGATATTATAAAACCATTGTTTAATTACCTTATTAATATTATTAGATATTTACTTATAATTGATGAATTAATAAAAATCGAATATAGTAAGATTAAAGATCAATTAAATAATATCTATTTATCTAGTAATCGATTATCCGAATATTCAGAAATAATTAATTTAACTATTAATCGCTAATATAGATTTGCTGACTAATTAATTATTTTAAAATAACTGATTAATGGAAAATAATCTCTAGAATAATCGAAAGCAATCGATTAATTACAAATAAATCGATTAAATTTAAATAATTGATTATTTATTTTGCTAATCGTCCAGCCCTTGTTATAATTCTTTAAAACAGCCATACTCAACCTGCAGCCCTCCAAGCTGTTTTGTGCGGCCCTCCAAGCTTTTTTGGTGCAGCCCCAAACACTATTATTAGGAATTTAACCCTTCAAAGGCGGAATTATTATTTTTTAAGTAGAGCAAATTTATCGATTCTAATGACTAAATTATATTTATTAATGATGAGGAGAATAAGGTTTTTTAATTTTTTTTCTTTATTTTTTACAAAAAAATGGTATAACCATATGGTCACACTAGCTCAATACAAACACAAAAATGTCGAACATGTTAGTTGGTGTGAAATATATAAAAACATTCAATACATAGTACCAAGTCACATTTATTACACTATGTTCGGCCAACAGAGCAGCAACCTTCTCCAGCATATCTTCTCCTCTTGTTATTTGGAACTGGACTAACTAAGTGGTCCTTATGGTCATACCTGATATCATCAGAAATCCTATTCAAAGTGACACTATTTCGGCTGATTGTTGGTCTTCCAGATATTTTTGGGACAGTTTTAAATCTAGTAAGGTATACCTTCACAATTTCTTTTCTGAAATTCAAATTGGTGATTGAATGACCTGCACTTTTATATTGAGTCCATGCGTTATGTAATACTGTATCTAGAAGCCAAGTTAGTAAAGGCCAATACCATTTCTTACTTCTGATACCGATTCTATGGCGAGCAATATCCTCGTCCATTCGATCTGTCCCACCCATATATTTATTATAGGTGTTTATAAGATGGGGCTGGGGAATATGAATAATTTTCTTCTCAGACTGTGAATATCTTTTTACCAAAGAAGTGAGTTGAATTCCATAAGAAATCGAGGCCATGGTAACAGGAGCATTCTCAGTCCAACGTACCAGTATTACACCTTCATCTTTTGAAATTTTAGATTCGATGGAACCTCTATTTTTTCTTCATGTCTAATTTAGTAGATATTGGACACTCCTTTGGAATCCTATTTTCTCTGGCGGTTCCTGTAACTCCATAGCCCCTTCTCTTTAGCTCAGTTAACAAACTAAAACTTGTAAACAAATTGTCTGTTAAAATTTGATAACGAAGATCACCCTCTGGCAAGGAGTCTAGCATTGGAAGTAACGGAGAAGTGGTTTTTCCAAATTTTTTGTCATACTCTGTAACTGATTTTGGATTCGTTCCCTGATATATATCAAAGTCGATTAGGTAGCCATTTTCGGCATTTAAACTCCACACTTTATAGCCAAACCTAATTGGCTTTCCGCGAATAAACTGTTTGCATCTATGTCTGCCATAATATTTTATCATAAATTCGTCGTACCTCATATTTTTGTCGGCTTAAAATATTTTAAATAATTTTTGTGAAGCTTTTCAATGATGAGTGGTGTAAGTGTTTCAGATTTTGTCTTTGTTATTGGGTTTGTTATTATCTGCGCAATGCAAAAAACGCATCTATCTAAATCTATCTCGGCGCATTGCTTCCTTTACTAACTGATTACCCATGTCGGATTCTGAATCCCAGTAAAAACATTTTCCGGGAAGAGAGTAATACCCGGTCAAAATAAGTATACCGATGAAACACTTCATTACATCATATTCTATTTTGGGTTCTGAACAATTTAGGAACAGCGCATATTTATTTGATTCTTCTACTAACAAACAAACAGTATCGTCATCGATGAACAATTCCAATAAATATGTTGATGATTTTCCTATAAAATCAGTATAATCTGGCTGCGGAAAAATTGCTGTCGTTTTCAGAATATCACCATCGATCCAAGTTCTTCTAAATGTTTCTTTTACTTTCTTTTGCTGCTTTCTTCTTGAATTCGTTTTGTGAACTAGTACTTGGACCACATTTTTCAAACTGACTTACTTCACTTTCCAATAAACTATTGTCTCCTTCACTATCTTCTTCATTTTCCGCTTTGTGCTGTGCTTCCTTTGAAACATTTTCGAAGCCAGTTATGCGTGTATTATTGGAAAATCGGATTTCTGCAGCAGTTTATAATTGGCTACGTGATAAATTATCCATTTCCCTGCTTTCTTCATCACCCGAATCTTCGTCTGTCAGTACATTCGGTTTCGGTGGTAATATCTATATGTCACACACACCATTGTTGTCATCTTCGTCGTTGTATATCATATCTAAGGCTTCTTTGAGAGAGAACCTCGCCTGAAACAAAAAAATACCAATTTCTCTCAAGTTCGGCTAGTGTCACCATACGGTCACAGTCAAGTATGCATCAAAATTGCTTTCGTACAAAGAGGGGGTCTCAAAATCTAATATTATCTAGAAACTCTTAATACATTTCACTAACTATTGAAACAAACATAAACAAAAACTATTCAGTTTGAAATAGAAATTTGATACTTATACAAAATTGGGTTCCATTTCTATTTCAAATTCCAGCGAACACATCAGTAAACCACTACTATGAATGAGAAAGCAGTAAAATAATAATGCGACACGTTCACATAATAAAGTACCGATCTCAACTAAATAGATTTCATCGCTTCTTCACGTTCTTTTAGATATCCGTAAATATGTCAGCTGATTTTGTGCAGCGTTGCCTGTGTTACCATATGGTCACGGTAGCCTTTGAAGGGTTGACCTACAGTCCTTTTTTGAAACAAATTGTCCTTGCGACTTTTTCAAAGCATATTAAAACAACTAAAACAACATGAGGACCTTTTTTTGAAAATATGTAAACTAAAACAATATGAGGACTTTTTTTAGAAAATATTTATATCGGATCCCTATCCCTCGCCCATTGTCCTTTATTTACATTTCAAAAAAGTGGCCTAGTTATCACCCAAAAATATTGTTTCCCGTGTAGCATAACAAACAGATTTATGTGGCCCGAAAGAAAAAAAAGTTGAGTGCAGCTGCTTTAAAACATAAAATTTTTAAATAGAGAAGCTTATTAAAAAACTGTTGGCAGCTATCAATTTTTATAAAATCTACAAAAGATATACTCAAATAGTGCATTTTTTTATTAGTAATTGACAAAGCTACTATGTAAAGGTACTCGTTCGATGGTCGCTGCCGAGACATGTACAAGCGACCGAGACAACGACAGGAGACACCCGAAGGACTACGTCAAGTCAGGGCTTTTTTGCTTTTGAGAAAGGTGTTTAGTGTGTAACATGTCTTACCTCTATGACTGCCGCCACGCCCCAACTGCCGCAATACAGGTACTGACGCAGACGCGCATCCATGCGACCGAGACAAGGCGAGACATTTAATCAGTATGTCTCTGCAGCGACCACCGAACCAGTACCTTTCCCATACATAAAGTATTTTTATTATTCATTAAGATAAATACAATTTTGATAAAATGGTAAATTCAAAAATACTCCAAAAAAGTTGTTTTGCGTAAATCAATATTTATACACTAAGCCGATTCTTTTAACCTGAATAATTCTTTAGCCATTTGAAAATTGAAATGAAATCCATAAAAACTAAACATGTGAATGGGTGAGTACGGGAACAGTGTGAACTATTTTGATTTAGTTATTTTGCTTTTCATTTCTGACATGGCAGTTATTGGATCATGTCCTCTTTAATCCGGCCCTGTGGATCTACACCCCCGCCTCGGTACAGACCAGGCTCTACTCTTATTTAGCGACCGAATTTCTATCTGACACCCAAATTTATTCGAACGTAAGAAGAGTCTCTACCGTTCTGCAGACCGTTCATACTTTGAAATATTACTACTGGGTTGTCAATCCGAGGTCTAAGAGTGGAATTTCGCCTAAAGGACTGGGTAAGTACACATCTAGTTTTAAAAAAAGATTTACCTGTATTTACAGGGATTGCACCACTATAATTAAAAAATAAATATATTGATATGATAAGGTTATAAGTATAAAATTTTTATTTTGTTTGGTTCTAGACTCATGTGCTAGTTCTCATATGACTAGAATAGACGAAGAATACTGTAATAATGGGTATTATTTATTATAAGTAAAAATTTAAAGAATACCCAAAAATTCTAAAAGTTATAAAGGACCCCGCAATAATCTTATGGAAATTGGGTTTCTGTCAAATTGTCTGAATTTTTGATATGTTATAGATTTTGTCATCCTAAACAAAAGTCTTCATGGGCACATAGTGCCAAAATGAATATTTTGGCATCTACGGAGTTGCCAAAGCTCCCCTGACCCGTTGCAAAACTATTCATTTTCAATACTATTTACAGATGTCAAAAGCATATTTTAATTATTCTAATATATAAGGTAATAATTTTTAGGTCACTGGATTCAATCCTCATGTCAGATTGGACAAATTGACCGATGACAGCTGTCAATTCACGGTCAACGAGGAATATAAAAGTAAATATCCTCTTTTCACATTGAGAGTTTGAGTTTTTGAGGTCGCTGAATTCAATTCTCATGTCAGATTGTACAAATTGACAGTTGACAGCGAAAAGAAGATATTTACTTTTATATTTCTCGTTGACCGTGAATTGACAGCTGTCAACGGTCAATTTGTCCAATCTGACATGAAAATTGAATTCAGCGACCTCAAAAACCCAAACTCTCAATGTGAAAAGAGGATATTTACTTTTATATTCCTCGTTGACAGTGAATTGACAGCTGTCAACGGTTAATTTGTCCAATCTGACATGAGGGTTGAATCCAATGACCTCAAAAACATTACCCTATATATTAGAATAATTAAAATATGCTTTTGACATCTGTAAATAGTATTGAAAATGAATAGTTTTGCAACGGGTCAGGGGAGCTTTGGCAGCTCCGTAGCTGCCAAAATATTCATTTTGGCACTTTGTGCCCATGGAGACTTTTTTCAGGATGACAAAATCTACAATACATATCAAAAATTCAGACAATTTGACAGAAACCCATTTTCCATAAGATTATTGCGGGGTCCTTTTTTAAAATTATATTTGAATCCTGGCAGGATCGCCATGTAATGTTAGGACAGGAGACTATCTTCTATTTATTTAATGAAACCAAAGTCGAATCGAATATATATCATCATTTGTTTTTATCTTGAATATGGGTTACATTACAAACAATTACTGCATTCTTCTTTCATTGAACCTTGCAGTCTATCTTGGAAAAACCATCTAATTAAACAAATTACCTCATACTGCTTAGGTGTCAATACAGGTAACCTACTTAATTGCATAGTTCTTCGTTAACAATAATTAGTTACAATATTATGATTTATATTTACAAATATTAAAATTATACTTAAGCCTATTTTAAACTTAATAACTAAGGCCGGCATTACAACAGGTAACGTACGTATCAAAAATAAACCAAACAATTATATTATGTTATGACTCCAGTAAATGGATTACATTGAACCAAAGAGTTAGATAAAATACGAACCAGTGAAGGACTGTTCATACGTCCTATCACAAAGCTTTATCCCTTACCACATTATAATTAAAATATTTGTAGTTAGTAACTACATCGCGTTCTTCGATCTATAAACTAGATTTAACCTTATTGTTTCACCTATAACTTTTTTATCTTTTTACATATTTTTTTATATTTTAAACGCGGAGTATGTACGAATTTTGATTATAAATATATGACGACACATTTCTATAGAGCAACCCGAATGTCACGTATCGCAACATTCGCGCGTCTCAAACATTTTGGTCCGAAAAAATTATTTACAAAGTGAATCTTTGTGTAATATGTGAGTAAAAGTAATTAGGGTGAAAGATAGAAACAAGTATTTGGCTTAAAACGGCTGTTCGATACAACAAACACCGTTTGAATACAAATAAATAAATAAATACTAAAATATTTGTTAGAATACGAGCTACCTAAATAGGAAGTAGGAAGAGTAGCTAGTATTCAATTTATAATATACAAGTAGTTAGTTGTTATCATTGATGATTGATTTGTTGTGTCAAAAATAAAATTTATGAAATGTCTGAGTAATTATTAAATTATATAGAACTTATAAAATACTGGTTGAAGCGCTTCATAACGATTCATAGCCTCCGACAAGATTAAATGTACTTGCAACTAAAACGCATAATTGTTCTTTATTTTCAAAAAAATGATTCTGTTACCTTGTGATCTTATTGAAACATTTACCAAAGTATTTTTGAGCTGAATTTGGCAATGCTGGTTGGGCTCGAAGAATAACTTGAAGTGCGTTGAGTCTGTAGAAATTCTTACCAGGCTCGATGACTACGAGTTGAGATGGATCGATGAAGGAAGGTCTTCTTCTGTGGCTATACTTAAACTAATTTCTTGAGTGATGTGAGTAGTAAATTCTACTGAGGGCTGGTGACTTTTTCCTATAACATCCGGCTCGAAGGACCATATGAATGGAGATGATACTGGCTACATCCTCATCACAAGTGCCAGTTTTGAGACTGGCCACAGCTCGAATTTTTTGGTTTAAAACTGTGTCAATAAAAAACTGCGAACTTTGTATACGTTATAGCGCCTATTTTACCCAAAAAGAGTTGGGAGTCGCTATACCTTGCTCTCGGCTAGTTCAGCACTCGACTACTCGGGCAATGGGTGCGGATCTTCACTATTAGTTAGGCGTTGAGTGGCAGACACTGTCCTGGGCACCACTGTATCAATTAAAGGGAATACAGAAACCTATATAAAAGTATATCTGCTTAAGACACTTGTACCTAATCAGTGACAAGATATAATAAAAATCAAACTACTATTTAATAAACCCAATTTATTAATAAAAACAGTAGTTGTGAAAGATATCTATGAAAGATAAATGCATTAGTTATGAAAGATAACTAAGAAAGATATGGAAAATATCTATATACAAATTTGGTCTTAAAGATACATAAAATAATTAAATTATGGTAAAAACTGTACTAATTATACATAGAAAAAGGTATCAGTTCTGGGTATATTAATATATTTTAATAAACCTCGACATTTCAATAGCCGAAGGGTATTGATAAATCAGAAATATAATAAGTATGCTTATTAATTTTAAATAGAAAGTCAAATTTTAATGTTTAATACTAGGAGAACATCCGTAACTCCTAGATTATAGAAAATTCACAAGAACTTTAAGTTCAGTGTTATAAGTTAATATTAATAAATAAATTAAGTCAAATAATGTGGCAATGTAAACTCAATACAAAAGACCTAAGTTAAATATAAATACAAATGATACCCAAAGTATGGTAAATTGTTTACCTAGGATATAGATCTATACCTGTGGTGTACAAAGACATTTATCTTGAAGGAAATATAAATAGGTTTATACCATATAAAAAAGAAAATATTTATACAATGAAAATGTATATGCTATGCTCTATACTTTAAAAGTGTAGGACAAAAATCATAGCGAGATAAAAATAAAACAATTAAAATAAATTTAAAGTTAAAGTTCTTAAGGACCACACTGAAGGTTTTTACTTATACCTGACCAAGGCACAAGCACTCGTCTACTCCATTAAGCAGTACTGGGGGTTGATCACCAAAGCATAATCGGGATTGAGGATCAGGCCACTTGGTTCCACAGCTTAGGATTACTAAATGTTCTGGGCCCAGCATACCGGTACAAAAATTCATTGAGTTCTCCAAACTCCTGGATACCATAATGGAACTCATACTTCCGCAGGGCTTCACTCCTGGGATGTTAATATATAAAATAAATGTTTGCCTTGTGGCCACATCGTGGACATGGGCTAATACCATCAACAAAATGGGGGACACCAACATGACAATCACACAAAAGTCATATGTCTTCTTGGCTCCGACTATGTACAATACAATCCCTGAAACAATCAAAGAAATTAATAGTATTTCCATATTTAAAAAACTTTTAAAAAAATTCATTATTAACTTACCAAGAGAAAAATTCCACAATCTTATTGATCTTAAAATTTTTACATTATAGACGATTAATAACTGTAAACCTTTCTCTCACACATTCTTTTTTTCCATTTATATAATTATTTTAATGTCATTTTTATATTTTTATATTTTTAGTTTTAGAATAATTATTATTATTTGATTTATATATATATAAATTTAACGAACCCAATTTTTTCCTATGAGCTCGACACAAGTGTTTTATACACTTCCAGAGTCTCTACCAACTTTATTTATTTACAAACAATTTTATATGTAATTATACACTATTGTATGTACCGTTATATATTCTAAATAAAGTTATTATTATTATTATTATTATTATTATTATTATTATTCGTCCTTCGTAGTCATGAAAAACCAAAGCCAAAACCAACTGAGTACAGGTAGTACTAGGACCCTATAAGTTTCACTTATTAATGAAAATAAAATAAAAATGGTTAAAAACCTACCCTACACTGAGGGGCACCATCCAAAGGAAATCAGCGCAAGGCACATAAAAAACTCGGGAAAAATCCGCCAACAGTCGAACGGGCTATTTTTTTAATTTTTTTTTTTACGATTTTAGACCTTCTGAAACACATTTCAAAATACTTTTTTTGCCTGCAAACGCTATAAAATATTTTTTTCTTACCTTAAAACTATTAAAATGTGTCCTCCAATTTCGATGTTGAAAAAATTTAAACTACATAATTTTGATTAATTTCTTGTTATAGAAACCGCTAAATAATAACACTAGACCATCCATAATGCAATAAACCATCCAAATTTTTTCGTAAACAGTTTATTTTTTTAATTTAAGCTCATGTTTAGGTTCGTCGGAATTTTTTAATTTTCGTAAAGACTATGACAATTAGGCATTCCAACGACCTGTCAAACAATAGGTGCCAGTGGGAAATTCTTGTATATCTAAAGG